ACGGGTGGAGAGGGTAGTTTCGGGGACACTGCCCTCTCTATTCTGCCGTCCTAGGCGGCCGCCTAGGTCGCCTCTATGGACGCGCCGGCCCTGCATATTCTATAGGGTATTATGTTATCTGATCTGTAAGGATGACAGAATAAACTGCAGCATGGATAGACGACAGTAAAGATGACAGTATAAACGACAGCATAGACGACAGTAAAGGCGACAGAACAGACGACCATAAGGACGACAGCATACAACGGTAGGGATGACAGTAAAGATAAATAGACTATGATAAGGACAACAGATCAGATGACAGAATACCCCATGCATTCCTTCTAATAGACAACAACAGGGTAGGTTACATCTGATATATATATCTATGATGTAGCTACATCTGTGATATGTGCAAATATATATATATATATATATTAATTAAATTATCCATAAATAAATAAATAAAATAAATTGATTTTAGAGTTGTTGTTTTCTTCTAGATAACAGCTATTTGCGACATTTGAACAAATATGGCAGAGGTTTTTATCGTTGAACTTTCACCTGTTTTACAATTTTCATTGCAAATGAAGTTCACAAGTTTACATACGTCACGCTCATGCCCAGCTCCCGCAATATGGCAAGCCTTTTAAGCATTTAAACCTTTGTTTTGACTATCCATAAATATATTTAAAGATATCTCTAATTATATTTTGACGAGTGATAATTATAATTCGACTAGTCAGAATGACAATTATCTGCAATTACAATTGTACTAGTAAGAAATCAGATTCGAGGCATCTGTAAATAAATTTTCTCTAATCAAAACTCAGTTGAAGATATCTCGAATGATGTTGAAGATATCTCTAAAATATGTGTCATATATAAATATCCGCAAAGGTAAATGTAGATATCTCTAACTGCGTTTCGATTAATCACAACTATATTTGAAGATATCCCCATGGCGATGCAGTAGCTCAGTAGGTAGTGCTGTCGCCTTACAGCAAGAAGGTCGCCGGTTCGAGCCTCTGCTGGGTCAGTTGGCGTTTCTGTGTGGAGTTTGCATGTTCTCCCTTCGTTCGCGTGGGTTTCCTCTAGGTCACAGGTGTCAAACTCATTCCCAAAAGGGCCGCAGCTCTGCACAGTTTAGTTCCAACCCTAATTAAACACACCTGATCAAACTAATTGAGTCCTTCAGGCTTTTTTGCTGTGTAAAACATGCAGTAAAAAAAAAAAATGTTTATTTGTAAGTCTCTGTGAATGTCATGATTTTTCTGTCACTACTTGTGTGTGTTAACAAATAGCCTAAATACAAATGAATTATAATTCCTTAACTTATATTGTAGTTCCTAACAATTTGGGTCGCGGCTTGATGACCATGTTAAAAATGTGGTACATGGCCAAACCAGTTGAGAATCCCTGCTCTAATGTATAATATGACTAGTCAAATAACTTTGCAGATATCTTTAATGCTTATAGTCGCAATCACATTGCAGATATTACAATTATGACAACTCAGAATTGCAATGTAGATATCTGGAATTGGAATTATGACAAGTCAAAACTGAATTATGACTAGTAGGGCAAGAGGTATTTAATGCTTAGACGGCTTGCCATACAGTTGGGGCGGGCGGGCTTTCAGCGTAACTTACCTGTCGTTCTCTGACGGAAAGCGAATTGTAGCAGAAACGCTGTTTAAGATTGACATCAGCACTCTTCACTTGCTACGGTAAGCTCACTAAAATGTTTCCTAACATCGCGAGTTAAACGTGTTAGCTGACCTAATGTCGAACTCAAAAGAAAGTTGATTGTTTCTTCTGACAGAAACTTCACTGTGAAACTAAAGTGTGGCGCAGAAGAGAAAGGCTGGGTCATTTTTATACAGTCATTGGTCATTCTACACTTTAACGTTGGCCTACACTTGAAAAACTATTTAGGTTTACAATATTTTTATATTTTATAAATGAAACAACATGATATTTGGACAAATACGCTCTTTTGAGTAATCTATATGGCAATAATTGTTTTTTAATTGCCTAAAAAGCATCACAAACTGCTCGTCCCCTCAGCCTTGAACAGGTGCTTTATTTTGACGTAAAAACTGATTTATCTACTATTCAAAATACTATTATGTATTTATTTATAACAACTAAAAATGTGTAAATGACATTTAAAAGTAAATGCCAAATAAATATTATAAAATATATAAAAATAAAACTATCCTATTGTTCCCTGGAGTTGTGTCACTGTTTAACACAGACACACTTTTATTTGGAAATCAAAATCACTTTGTTGACCTAACTTGAGTTTTTTCTTCATATTTATTTATTTATCTATGAAGAAAAGTTGATTGTAACTCATTTTTCATAAATTTGTCACCATTTCATATGAAGCTTTAAGTTGGTGTCACTGGTGTGACCTCATTTATTGTAAAGGAATTGTAAAAAAGGGAGTACACCATGACATGTTGTCAGCAGATAACTTGCAGCAGCCATTTTGTTAAATGCCTTTTGTGATCGATTAATTGTGTTTCTGTGTTTTCTCCCAATCACATTAATTAAAAAGTGTCAAGATAACTACTCATTTAAAAGATAATCATATTAGATTCAGCAAATTCTGCTACACTCAGGATTTAAGATTTAAACTTGTTTATAAATCTTATTTTGATATTTTCAATGCACTAGCAAATGGCTGCATGAATGAACTAACTGTATAAAATTATACTTTTAACAAACCTAATTAAAACAAATATTGGTTGCATCAAATTTATTTGTTCTCTAACTCTGACTACATGTGCTGAATAATATCAATACATATTATTTCATGAAAACCTTTTAATATTGCCAAAAGAAAGTTGTCACCAGTGACAAAAAAGGTACATGCGATCTTTAAATAAATGTACAAAAAATAAACTAAGCTGTCATTTGTGTATTTTCATAAAGTCAAAAGGTAATTCACTAATGTGGACTAAGATTAAATGTTAAAAAAATAATTTTAACAAAACTGGAAGTTTCTGTAGAATGAAATTTAGTGAAAGACACACAATAGAGCTTGAGGACATTTCAGAAACATGTAATGCATTTTTAATTGATTGAAAGCCCAAGTTTAAACTTTTAGCAGAGCTTTTGAGCAGAATAATATCACAATTACTGTTATTCATTACAGATATTAATATAGTTAACCCAGGGGTAGGGAACCTATGGCTCAGGAGCCACATGTGGCTCTTTGACCAAAAATATGTGGCTCTCCTGCTGTCTTTCTTCAATTAAAGATTAAAAATGTCACTAGAAACCAGTTTCCTATTAAAAATACAATTACAATTCCCTTTATATTGTATTTTCTACATCAAAATGAATAAGAACTCAGTTTACAATAAAAAGACGTTTCACCAATGCACATATGTGTTTGAATTTGAATCGCTACACTGATGAAGAGCAAGCAGCCTACATTTCTATGTACCTCACGCACGTAAATTGAAACAACATTAATGAGTGACGATGGCAAAAAGAAAATCATTTAAAAATAGTTCTTTCTTCATACATCGTGATGCGTCATATTTGTTTATTTTTGAGTTGTGCATGGACATAAATAAAGGTTTTGTTTATAAATAAATAATTCAATTGTTATATACGCACACCCCAAATGGCTCTTTAAAAATGCATTTCATAAAAAAAAAAATTAGTAATGGCTCTTTGCTGAAAATAGGTTCCCGACCCCTTAAACGAAAACGAAAGCTCTCCTTTCTTCTACTGCTAAAAGTGTTGCTTTCAATTAAATTGGGGAGATGTTTTAGTTATGAATGCTTTTGTTTGCCTCTTCTAATTTTCACAGTAATTTTAACAACAAAAAAAAGAATTCCTTTAATTTTTTTTTCCCCACTAATACAAAACAACGCTTTAGTACATGAGTTTTTTTGGTGGATTCTCCTGTTGAAAAGAAATGTTTTAATATGGCAGTTCTGGACTGTTGCCACTAGAGGATATTAAAGCTCTATATATGGAGCAAAGCACCCATTAAAAGAGTCAGTTCACCCAAAAATGAAAATTCCATTATTAACTACTCTACCTCATGTTGTTCCAGTTCCCTTAGGTCTTCATTCATATTTTGAACACAAATTAAGTTATTTTAGATCAAAGTTGTTTGACTCTCTATATATAGCAACAGTCTCGAGATGGTCAAAGTTCAGAAAAGGAACCAAAAACATATTCAGAACAGGCCATGTGACTTCAGGGGTTCAACTATAATCATACAAAGCTCCACGAACAACTTTGTTTGTGAACTGGTTTTAGTACTTCTACCTGATCTTGGATCAATTTTGTAGGTTCTAGCAAGGCATTTGTAAAATTAAAAGGAATAATATTAGTTAATAGCCTGTTTTAAATTTTTAGCACACTGTTGAACCAATGATATAAAGACCGCTGTGTTCGCATGGGTTTCCTCTGGGTGTTCCGGTTTCCCCCACAAGTCCAAAGACATCTTGTATGTGAACTGGGTTAGCTAAATTGTCCATAGTTTACGAGTGTGAATGAGTGTGTATGGATGTTTCCCAGTGATGGGTTGCAGCTGGAAGGGTATCCACTGTGTAAAAAATATGCTGGATAAGTTGGCGGTTCATTCCGCTGTGGCAAACTCAGATTAATAAAGGAGATTAAGCGAAAAGAACATGAATGAATGAATACGTTTGAAACGCATGGTTTTTTTTCCCAGATTTTTGTTGCATTTACATGGTTTTGTCCAGCAGATGGTGGTATTTTCGAGAGCTTCAAAACAGTGAATTATTTTGCAAAGCTGTTTTGAATGCTTGAAAAGCATTGCTTCTTCCATCACTTCTCCAAAAAAAATAAAGCACAACTAAGATCCCGTGTCAGCCCTAGTTACATATCATAATGTGTGTCATTCTCTCAACATCACTGTTCATTCAAACAGCTCCAGCAAAGGTGAAAGCTCAAATGTGTACAAATTCACTGAATGTTCTGTTTTTCTCAAATATCATGTTTGTCATCTAGGAAAAGCCGAAGGAGAAGATTTTTTGGATAAAATAAGTGGAGAGAGAACAGGAGTTTTCTGTCGACCCTCATAAAGCATCATCTCCAGGATTCAGCTCTGTGTCTGTGAAGAGTAGCAATGTCTTCTCCTGAATACTTTAATGGAGCTGCTGTGAACTCTGGGTGAGTATCGAGATCTTTCATCACAACCCCAAATCAGAAAAAGTTGGGAAAACGCAAATAAAAAAAGATAGTAGTGATTTCTAAGTGATGTTTTCTAATAAAATTTTGTGAAGAGCACGAGCACGGTCTTTGACAAGGCTAATTCATCACACAGAATCATTCTATTATCTAATCAGCCCAAGACCACACCCCTTTAAATAGTCAAACACGTCATACCCAGGGCCAGATGGAATCTGCGGACGTTTTTTCTATTTCTCCTGAGAAATTTGATAAAAATCTGCGGATTTCTGTGGAATTATTTGGAAGTATCCAGCGGAGTATCATAACTAAAACCTTAATATATGAAATAAAAAGTAATAAATTACTGAATAAATTCAGATTTACACATTTACTCAAGTAAATGAACAGAATTAATAATGGGCTGAAAATCTGTGGAAAATCTGCGGAATTCTGCGCACGCAGATTCCGTGTGGGCCTAGTCATACCTCTGTTTTGTCTTGACTTCAGCATCCCTCCACCACCGTAACTCCACACTATTAAACCCGATACCTATTTAAATCTGAGGGGGGAGCGTTCTGGAGCCAGGCTAGACACTGCACTCAGACCCTATCTCTCTCTATCCTGATAAGCGGAATAACACAAGTTAGGGTGTCTTACTGAGCTCAGAGCCCTCACACCGGACAGCACGCCAAATATGCATATTCTATACGCCTATTCTATTCTATTAAGTCAAATATCTGTGAGTGTGAACTCGTGAAATTTACTTTGACTTGTATTTCATTGTAGACAATATGACACACAATATTTAATGTGTTCCTCATGACTTTTAATGTTGTTGGTTTTTTTTAAACACGTATTTCAATTTTGGTTCTTGCAAAACAGGGTTGGGAGAGGAGCAGTTTAGGTCCAGTAATCAGGTAAATGGGTTAAATATTGATGTAATTTAAATCGGGTGATGTCAACAGGTGATTGTAATTATGGTTTGGTTCAAAAGCAGCATCCAAGAAAGGTCCAGTCCTTTAGGAGCAAAGATGGACAGAAGATCGCCAGTTTCCAATAAACATGTTAGAAAATAAATAAAATGTTAAAAAAACAATGTTCTTTAAAAAAAGATGGGAAGACATTTGAATATTTCACCATCTACAGTGCTTAACATCATTAAAGATTCAAGGAATCTGGAGAAATTTCATTGCGTAACCCCCCATTCACGGGGCGTCAGCTTCAGTGCTTCCCATTCACTTTGAATGGGTGACGTCAGGCGTTGCCGAACTGCATTGTGGATCCGTCGGCGCCACTTCAGAGGCGTTGGAACTTGCTCAACTTTTCAAGCGCTGACGGAAGCATCAGCCAATCAGATCGCTGTACGCAAATACACCAGCTCAGACAGTGGCCTATGGCTGACTAATTTCATTGGCTGATGCTGCTATGACGATCACGTCTGCCAAGCGTTGACGCTGAAGCCCCGTGTGAATGGGGCGTAACGGACAAGTACACGGTTGAACAACCGTGATCTCCGATCTCTTAGGTGACTCTCATCTCTAAGTGATATCACCACATGGGCTCAGGACTACTATGGCAAACCCTTGTCAAGTAACAAAATACGTAGTTACATCTACAGATGCCAGTTATATCTTTACTGGCCAAAAGGAAACCCTATGTTAACAGTGTCCAGAAGCACCATCAACTTCTGGGCTCAGAGGCATCTGGGATGGACCATCACACGGTGGAAACGTGTACTGTGGTCAGATCAATCAGTATTTCTTATGGGTTAGTGTTAGGATGCCATGTGCTTTGGACCCAAAGAAGAAAAGGATCATATAGATTGTTACCAGCAACATTTTTAAAAGCCAGGGTCTGTCATGGTGTGTCAGTGCCCTTGGCAACTTGCACTTCTGTGATGGCACCATTAATGCTGAACAGTTCAGAGAGATTTTGGAGCACAACATGGTGCCTTCTTTTTCAGGGACGCTCATGCATATATCAACAAGACAATGCAAAACCACATTCTGCACACAATATAAAGTCTTGGCTGCAGGGGAAAAGAATACAGGTACTTAACTGGCCTGCCTACAGTCCCGACCTGTGTCTAATAGAGAATGTGTGGTGCATCTTGAAGCGTAAAACGCAACAACGAAGTAGTGATGGGAAGTTCGAATCATTTTACTGACTCGGATCTTTGAGTCTCGTTCGTCAAGATGAACGAATCTTTTTTCGTGTCATTTCGTTCATTTGGTTCAATTTGCCAAAATATTATTAAAATGTTAAGAATTGCTTCCAAACACTGCTACAACTAGCCCAAAAGGTTGATCGCACGACAAATAAGTCATAACTAGAATACTATAAGAAGGAGAAAATAATAATTCAATGTTCGCCTGCTCTTTTTACTAGGAAGGTAGGCTATGTTGTTTCCTTGCTCAGCTCACCTCTTCATGTCTTCTAATGTCAGTGGTCCGTTCACGTTACACTGGCAGTCACATATAATCTTAAAGGGTCACGAAACACCAAAACACATGTGTTTGAGCTGTTGACAGTCGTATATGTGTCCCACACTGCTAAAAACACTATTAGGACACCTATATTTCACTAAAAAGTGTAAATTGGTTGTTTTTGCGTTATTTCAAGCAAATTCGTACTTCCGGTTTGAAACGAATTTTTGAAGCTGCGTCACGTCCATGACATAACAGCGTGTATTCCAGCGTGCAGACTGGGCGTCTGTGCCAGAGTGTGTCTTATTACGTCTTACAGTGTGATGCATTAATGCATGAGTAAAGCCTGGTTGAAACCAATCAGTGCACTCTATTGTGCAACTTCATTAATATTCATTACTATCACCGTGTTTACACGACAAAGACGCCACGTTGTGTTGGCAAAACAAGCATGAAGTGTTGCTTTTATAGTTTGCTGCAGTTAAGTTTCGTTTTCATTTTCTCTCTGTGAGAGCTCAGCTGGAGTCATGTGTGGATTAACAGTGTACGCGACGCTCGACAACAATAACTTAACTTACGTGTCTAAGGAGGAACATTGTTTACCTGAGAGCTGTTGTCATCTGCAAACGCTGAGATCCGGATTCGCTTGTAGTCTTCTCTTCATAAAGACGCGGCTCTAGTTGCTGGTGATTGTCCTGTCTCTACAGATTTGGTGAGTGAGCGACCAGCGCTCTTTGTTTATTCAGTTTGTTCGTATCTAACAAACTATTGCACCGAGTGTAAACATGTTAGCACCACAACCAAACTTTAACCTCGTGTAGGGTTTTTACCGCATTTAGTGACCGGAATAACACACGCGGCTTTCTGACGCTACCTGCCGTGTGCATCTAAGTTTCCAGAAAATGCGGAGGGTTTTTATTCTCTCATTCGCCGTGCGGTATCAAACATTGCATAAAAAATACACGCTTAGAGCAGCTCCTCGAATCAAATATCTCGTTTGTCGCGAGGGACATGAATGAATTCTCTGAATGAAAAAGCCAAACTGCAGTTAAAGTCCACCATTTAATAATTTGGCAAATAATTCGACTACAGATGTCCATGTAGGTTAAACACCATCACTTTCTACTGTGTGTGTGAATTTTGACTCTGAAACTCACGCGCGCCCAAATAGACCCACACCCTCCCACTTTAGTTCCTCCGACACTCCCCCCTAAACAGAGCTGGACACGCCCACTTTTCTGACTTTTTCCAAAGTAGAGGTGTGAAAACACCCTGCTGAAACGAGGGGGTTTCATGGCCCTTTAACCAATGTACACAGTCTGAGTCGATAGGAGCCATGATAATTAGTTCGACTTTCAAGTCTTGAGTCGTTCGTTATTTAAGTGACAGAATGACTCAAACCAGAGGACTCGAGATGAACGAATCAAATCTTTTTCGGGCTGTAAACGTGTATGATTAGCCTGTGAGGAACGAGTGACTCAGACGCGATTGAGGACTCGAGAGGTGAACGGATCAATTCTTTTTCCGACTCTAAACGCGTATGATCTGCCTTTCCACGATGAATGACTCGAAATGTGATGAAGACTTGAAATGAACGATACCACCTGCACAAATGTGCGCACGCTCGGATGAACGAATCACTCCCTGAGAGGACTCGTAGTTCCTGAGTCATATTGAAGATTCGTTCAGAATTAACGAATCATTCATGAACGACCCATAAATACAATGAAGACCCTAGGCTTTTGCCCACCTCAAGTCATTTCTGCAGGAAGAATGTGACGAAATTACACCTGAAACACTTCATTTCTTGGTTTCTTCAGTCCCTAGACGTCTTTTAAGTGTTGTGAAAAAGGAATGGCAACATTACAAAGTGGTAAAAGCTTTACTGTTACAACTTTTCTTTTCTTTTTGCCAGAACCAAAATTGGAGTGTGTTTATTTTAACTAATGTTTGTTGTATTGTCTGCAATAAAATACACGTCAAAGTAAATTGACTTCTTTCTGTTTTTTTAATTGCATTTATTTTGCATTTTTCATACTGTCCCAACTTTTTCTGATATGGGGTTGGAGTTTAACATATACATTTACTAAGAAGGTATTAGTGTTTTTGGGCTCTATTTTGACGGTTCATGCGCAGAGCGCAAAACGCAGGGCGCAAACGCTTTCAGGGCGTGTCAGAACGCATTTTAGGTAATTTAAGGAAGGGGAAAATCCGCTTTGCGCCAAGGCGCATGGTCTAAAAGGGTTGAGTTTATTTTCTTAATGAGTTATAGGTGTGTTTTGCGAATAAACCAATTAGAGTCTCAACTCCCATTCCCTTTAAGCTGCGCCGCACCATAATCGCATTTTGACGTAAAGTAAGTTCACTTTCACTTTTGCTCTCGTGGATAGGGAAACCTTTACGCACAGACATCAATTAGCCTATAAAAAATTCATTTTGTTTGTTAAACGCAAAGATTTGTTTCAAAACTATTTCTAAATTCAGTTCTATTTTCTAGCGAATAAATATTAACGAATAAATGAACAATAATGACCAAGTGTGCTCAAAATACTGAGGTATTTCCAAATACACCTGCCATGCCCCATATGGTCTAAAATTTGACTGGTGGACAAATCTAAGCTTGTTTTTAATAAAACATATATAAAACATACAATATAAATATGGATATAATAAATAATACTGCTAATAATAATAAAATTATACAAAAGCAAACTGAATGAACTGAAAAAGCCTTCCGAGATGAAGAAAGTAAGGCAGTGGTTTTTAAATCTTCATGTAGGCTAGAAATTAATATGTTTTGTAATATTTTAATAATTTATATTTATATCCTTATATATATATATATATATATATATCCTTAAGATATTATATATTTTTCATATGTAAAGATATTTGCGTATTGCTCTGCATCTTGTGTATAGTGTGTAAGCCAGGCGCACTTTGCGGCAGACAATAGACCGACTTTGTTCTGGTCTAAAGATCAGACTATTTACAGTTTCTCAAAATAGCAACGCACCAAAACACGCCTGCTTTTTTAGACCAGAACTGTCACGTTTTAGCGTGATCAAAAACAATAAACAAAAAGGTGCGGATCCAAGTGCAGATTATATTTATTTACAGTGCAACCAGCAAGGTGATAAGAATACAAAGTAACAAATAAACAACAAAACCAGAAACTAAATCAGAGACGAGGCTCAGGAAAAACAAACCCAAACAACTAAACCTAATTAGAACACAGACTAGACAAATGACACACGAACTAGACTAATGCAAAATACAAGAACAGGATCAGAATAACAAACTTGGAATCTAAGACTTACAGGAAACTCGGACAAGGAAGACAAACGACTCGATCACAAACAGTGGTGAAATGGTTGTATAAATAGTCCAGATAATCAACGGTAACGCAAAACAGATGTGATGACATGTCAGTGTAGGTGTTCCGGTGTGTGCGCGGGGCATGTATGAAAATGTAGTTTTTCTGAGACGCTGTAGTGCTGTCTTAGTCCTGATGCACTACAGCGCCCTCAGGTGGTCACTGATGGATGTGACAAGAACGCCTATGGCGCAAATGCATTTGCTATTTAAACAGCGTGGCGCAACACCTCAAAATGACCCTTGCGCCGAGCTTAAAGTACCAAAAGACCATTGCGCCGCGCCTTGCGCCACACTGCGCCGGGTGTATGATAGGGCCCTTTATCTTTAAACTTTTTTACAATATGTCTGCCTTGTTGTCTATAAAGATCCAATCAGTGGACCAAAACGCATCATATAACCAGGTGTAAACTGGGCCTGATCTTAACTTGATATAAAACAATGGAAGATCTATACAATGTCAACACTAAAATAATAAAACAAACATCTGTCTTTGTGTTTTCTAGTGTGGAAAATGGAGGACCACGGAGATGTAAGTCTACAAAAGCAGATGCTTGTAGTCCAGTTTTAATAAATGGTGTAATGTGTGTTTACTTGCGTTTAGATGCCTTTGAGCTCACACTGGATCCAAACACAGTAAATAACGCCCTGGTTCTGTCTGAGGGGAACAGAAAGGTGATGGGTGTGGGAGAGAGTCAGTCTTATCCCGATCATCCAGACAGATTTGATGAATGGAATGATCAGGTTCTGTGTAAAGAGAGTCTGACTGGCCAGTGTTACTGGGAGGCTCAATGGAGCGGGCATGTTTATATAGCGGTGTCCTATAAAAGCATCAACAGGAAAGGAGGTGGTCTCCCTTGTTGGTTTGGCCAGAATAAGAAGTCCTGGAGTCTTGAGTGCAGTGATCACTCATTCACTGTCTGGCACGATAATAACTCCACATCCATCTCTGTTCCTTCAGACTCCAGCAGAACTGTAGGAGTGTTTGTGGACGAGTCCATCGGCTCTCTGTCCTTCTACAGCGTCTCTGACACACACGAACTCACACAATTGCACACATTCAACACCATATTCACTGACACACTCTATGCTGGATTTACAGCACATTTTGGCTCTTCAGTGACTCTGTGTCACGTTTAATAACAAACACACACACCAATTTCCCTCACCAGTTAGCAGCAGATTGTAGACTAAATGGCAGTTTTTCTAAAATTGGTGTGTGTTGCCTGTTATCTTAATTCATACGTCACTGTTTGGGAAGTGTATTGAGCAAAGCTACCTTTAGCAATGAGATCTGCTCTTACATTTAAACATCATTGAATATACCACGGCATTGGGGCACATAACAAATGCCCAATCATCTATAACAAAACAAAAACAAATATTTGATATAATAATAAAGTAAAACTTTACAATAAGGTTGTGTATTTAGTAATGCATTTAGTATCTTGAACAAACAACGAACAATACTTCTATTACAGTATTTGTTCATGTTAAAGGGCACCTAAAATAGTTTACCTTTAGTGTTAGTTAATGAAAGTGTTTCATTGTTAGTTCATGTTAACTGACAGTGCATTAACTAATGTTAACAAACATGAATGAATAGATTTTAATAACACATCGTTAAATGCTGAAATATGATTAATAAATGCTGTACAAGTGTTGTTCTCATTCAGTTCATGTTAGGAAATACATTAAATATTGAAACCTTATTGTAAAGTGTTACCAGTAATAATGTACATGAGCAGCAATGAAGGTGACATTGCGTGCCAATTTTACCGATTCTTTAGGATCTTAATGGAAAGTTTATAACTGACTTTGGTGCGTAAAAACGTGCTGGATAAGTTTTTGGTTCATTTCGCTGTGGCGACTCCAGATTAATAAAGAGACTAAGCTGAAAAGAAAATGAATGAATGAATAAACCACAGCAGAAAGCCTATGCCATATACCAGGGGTCACCAATCCTGGTCCTGGAGGGCTGGTGTCCCTGCAGGGTTTAGCTCCATCTTGCCTCAACACACCTGGCTGGATGTTTCAAGTATACCTAGTAAGACCTTGATTAGCTTGTTCAGGTGTGTTTGTTTAGGGTTGGAGCTAAAATCTGCCGGACACCGGCCCTCCAGGAACAAGTTTGGTGACCACTGCCATATACAGTACAGATACTTAATAAATAACCTTGGCTACTATAAATTAAAAAAAAATTAACGTATTCTTTTTGTTTTCACAAGCTTTGGAGACGTAACATAAATTCTGCTTTTAAATAATAGGTCACCTATAGCTTTCCTTTGAGGCTGTGTTCAAAAGTACATCAATGCTTTCAAAGTGCACTGCGAAGAGCACAATCGTAAACATGAAGATCGCTCAAACTGAACTGTAAAAATAGTTTGAAAGCAAATTACACCTAAGAGAGATGACCTTAATGCTTTTTAATTTTTAATAATTCCAACTTTGAATGTTAGGATGTTCTAAATGAATAGGGCATAGGGGGGATAAGTGGTAATAGAACACAGCCAGGAACTATGTTTCTAACTACAGCTCCAGAGGTGTAGTTGCGAGTGCTTAAGTTTGTGACGCAGTTTGTGAATGTTCGTTGAAGCAATGGATTTGGGAAACGGCAAATCAGCAAACTATGTTTGTAATAACGCAACTTGCGACCTTAGTTGACTAACGATGGTTTTGGGAAACGCACCCCTGGCTGAGATAAGATTGTAAAGTGGGTATCGGACCAAACAAGAAGCACTGCATTAAATTAGATTTTTCCGCTCCATGTCTTTAAAATATGGAAATCAATTTTACCCTTGTACCCCAGTTTAAAAAATAAATAAAATTGTGGTTGAAATTAAGAGAGTTTTCCGGGATAAATAACAAATGGGTGGGTGGCTGGAGATGGGTCTGAAATACGGGAGACTCTCGGGAAAAACAGGAGTGTTAGCAGGTATGCTCACACAAATGCTCTGCACTCTTGACTACTTCAATATTGTTGATAAGCCGAGCTGGGCATTTCACTCTGTCTCGTGCCGAACACTGTCGACCAATAGCAACAAGCTGTCATCGGTCCAATCAGTGCAGATTAGCTTCGCGCTAAGGAGGAGTTTGGGAACAAATGAATCACTAAACGATTCATATGGAAGTAGCTGGGGTAATTAGGTAAAAATAAATGCGCTTTATAAGACAATGAAAGTGTTTTTTGACCTTGCATGCATATTAGACTGTTGTTGGAGACCCTTACAACTAAAATATGACCCTATTTCATGTATAAACGAGGCTCTTTAGAAGACATGGTGGATATAATGTGAGAATAGAACCAAACTAAGACGTCAAAATAAGGACAATTTGAAAAGGTTTGTGCATGTCAGTGTGTGGGGTGAAATTAGGATATAATTTTGAACAGATGTTAAAACAGTGTCTAGACCAGGGGTCACCAATCTCGTTCCTTGAGGGCCGGTGTCCCTGCAGGGTTTAGCACCAACTCGCCTCAACAAACCTGCCTGCATGTTTCAAGTATACCTAGTAAGACCTTGATTAGCTTGTTCAGGTGTGTTTGATTAGGGTTGGAGCTAAAATCTGCAGGACAACGGCCCTCCAGGAACAAGTTTGGTGACCCCTGGTCTAGACAGTATCAGTTAAAGGAATAAATGGATGAAAAGAGGTGATTGTCAAATTAGGACAAAGTATATATTGTGAATGTTCAGTGAGTAGCTGTTTACTGTAAATGTGGGTTTGTGTTAATATACGCAAATGTACAAATGATTAGTGTAATATATAAAGTGAAGGGAAAAAGATGAAATAATGTGAGGTGATATTATTTTTGAGTTTACATGAATCAAAAGATGTTTTGTTGATTATGATGAAATGTATTTGTGCTTGAATAACTTGGATTATTCTGCTCGAAATAAATAAATAAAATAATACAATTTATTATGGCTCTAATATCCTAATATTATTTTTGTTATAAGGCTCCTAATCGGAAATATGTCAAAACCTTGTATTCAAACAAATTCCATTCAAACCAAATGAAATAACATCATTTCAGAGCTGGCTGTTTCTATTTAGGGCAGCTCTGCACAGATTGCCGATTGGCGATTGGGCCAAATGCTTTATAAACATTTATATACACAAGCTATAAACAATGCTTGATAAACATTTATCATTATTATTACTTATATTATCATCATCATCACCATAATATTCACATCTTGCAAGAGGTAAAAGCTGCCTGCATGTAAAAACAATACATATAAATATAAAATAAATATAAAAAAACTGACTGGCCCACATTTAAAAAATGGTCCGGCTCTTCTGGAATTGCCAGATGGCCAATCCGCCCCTGGGAGGATACTACATAGACATGTTCTGTTGGTGCGTTATTTGAGTGGGCTTTTGTTTTCCAGTCAGCATGTGTAGGTGTGTTATAAGTTGTTTTATAAAATAAGCAATATCTGTTCTCGGTTATTTTGACGGAAACAGCTTGAAATTTTAACAGCAGATTCAATTTGAGAATTATTAAGTCAACTGTGGGATTTTAGGCATTTATTTTGTTCTGTCTAACTCACAGGTGTCAAACTCAGTTCCAAAAGGGCCGCAGCTCTGCACAGTTTAGTTCCAACCCTAATTAAACACACCTGGTCAAACTAATTGAGTCCTTCAGGCTTGTTTGAAACCTACAGGTAAGTGTGTTGGAGCAGGGTTGGAACTAAACTGTGCAGGGCTTCGGCCCTCCAGGAATTGAGTTTGACACCCCTGCTCTAACTTAAACGATATCCAATATATCCAGTAGTATAATAATTGCATTAATTTCCACGGTAAAAATGCATGTTTTTTAGATACAGTTGAAGTCAGAATTATTAGCCCCCTGTTTATTTTCCCCCAATTTCTGACCATTCGGTGTGCGGATCAGAACACACATTAAAAACCTAAATGTAAATGTTGATTCCATCCACCAGACTCTCTTTTGCCTGGTCCCACCATGGACATTAAATAAGTTGCATGTAAATCTGGATCTGAGCAAGCATAAGAAGGCTGATACATTCCCACATACATATCAACAAGCAGTTGCTGGCATAAGACATTTTTATCCTACCCATAATCCAATATACACAGATGGATCATAAAAAGGAAGGTCATGTTTCTGCAGCAATAGTAATGGGTCAATCACACCACGGCATTCGCATTCCTGATCAAAGCTCAATCTTTACAGCTGAAGCAAGGCACTCTTTTTAGCGCTGGAACACATTGAAAATGCTGAAGGACACAATTTTATAATTTTTTCTGATTCTAAATCTTGTCTACAGACATTAAATTCTTTAAAACTGGAGCATCCCATTATTATTGACATTTTTATCAAAGTGAATGAATTACAGAGAAAGTTTTATAATATAGTCTTCTGCTGGATCCCAGGACATACTGGACTACTTGGGAATGAACAAGCTGACAAAGCCGCCAAAACAGCCCTAACTGGAAAGCTGATGGAGTGCAAAATCCCACCTTCGGATCTTAAGCCACTAATAAAAGGATATATTCTCAACAAATGGCAATCAGAATGGGATCAGTGCCCAGAAAATAAACTTTTTGAAATTCAACCTGAAATAGGAAAAAAATCTAATCTATTTTTTAAGTCAAGACACGATGAGATTGTGTATAGAAGATGCCGCATTGGACACACGAGACTCACTCATGAACATTTACGAAGAAGAACCACCAAAATGCCTTTATTGCAACAGAACAAACAGTTAAACATATTCTTGTGGAATGCCCCATTTTTAATGTTATCAGACAACAATATTTATCTGGAGAGACTTTAAAGGAAATATTTTTAAACGTGAATCCATCTAAAGTTGTAGAATTTTTATCAAACGGAAATTTTAGATTTTTATCTTATATATTATTATTATTATTATTTATATATTTTACCTGGTACATTATTTGTTGCTGTTGATGACTTTTAATTGTTAGATTATTTTTACTTGATCTATTTTCTTTTTGCCATGACATAGCCATAGACGCTGAAATGGCAATAAAATTAAAACTCTCTCTCTCCCCCCCAATTTCTGTTTAACGGAGAGATTTTTTCAACACATTTCTTATCATAATAGTTTTAATAACTCATTTCTAATAACTGATTTATTTTGTCTTTGCCATGATGACAGTAAATAATATTTGACTAGATATTTTTCAAGACACTTCTATACAGCTTAAAGTGACATTTTGTAACGAGGAGACTGACACGGAAGGATCCATTATGCAGTATTTAACACACACACACACACACACACACACACACACATTAGTAGTATGGGTATCAAGACTGATGATGAACAGACACAGAGTGAGTTACCAGGCATGAGTGGAAGGGAGAGAGCGAGAACCAGGATCCGTTGGCTTGGGTCAAGGGCAGGCAGCAAGGATCAGAGTCCGTATCACAGGCGTGGTTCGTGGGCAGGTAGAGAGAGAGTCAGAGTCCGTATAACAAGCGTGGGTCGTGGGCAGGCAGAAGGCGAAGCAAAGTAAGAAACAGGCTGGAGTCGTGCACAGGAGATCAGGCTGGAAATACCGCTCAGTAATGCTGGCCGGGGCTAAACAAGACTTCGCACTGAACGAGTGTTTGAGTGCGGCTTATAAGAGGTACGTGGGTCATTAGCCAGATTCCAATCAGGTGTATGCGCAATCAGTGTAGATGGATGACGTAATGCTAAAAGTCCGGAGATGGTGGCCTCTGCTGGCCAGCGAGGGGAGTTACTGGGACCGAGTCGGTGACACATTTAAAGGCTTAACTAGGTTAATTAGGGTAACTAGGCAGGTTAGGGTAATTAGGCAAACTATTGTATAACGATGGTTTGTTCTGTAGAAAAACAATTAGCTTAAAGGGGCTAATAATTTTGTCCTTAAATGGGTGTTTAAAAAATGTAAAACTACTTTTATTCTAGCTGAAATAAAACAAATAAGACTTTCTCCAGAAGAAAAAATATTATCAGACATACTGTGAAAATTTCTTTGCTCTGTTAAACATCATTTGGGAAATATTTAATAAAAACAAAAAAAAACAAAGGGGGGCTAATAATTCTGACTTCAACTGTAGTTATAGTTATTTGTCAGTTCCTGCTTAGAAAGTTGACTTCGCTGCTATAATTACCACCAACATTTACATATGCAGCAACACTGTGCAAGCTTCAGTGCTTTGAAAGTATGTATAGCCTTGTTACTTAACAGAAGAACAGAACCTTCATCATCACTGAACAACCATGACTCTCATCGTCATTTTCATCTCAATGCTTACAGTATTCCATCAAGGTTTGTACAAATATAGATATTAATTGGAATAACTTGTGCTTTTGTCAAATCATTATATGTGTGACTCTTCCAGATTGCAGAGGTCAAGTGACCGTCACTCAGACTCCGCTAATAACAGCACAACCAGGACAAGATGTCAGAATAAGCTGCAAAGCCAGCAGGCCGGTGCATCTTAATGACCACGTGGCTTGGTACCTCAGCAAACCTGGAGAAGCTATTAAAATACTTATTTACCGTGCCAAACATCGATTCACTGGAGTGCCATCTAAAGTGACAGGAAGTGGACACGGAGCCGACTTCACTCTGACCATCAGTGGAGTCCAGCCTAAAGATGCAGGACTTTACATCTGTCAGAGCGACCACACTGGAGCAATCGACACACAGTGATAAAGAGCCGTACAAAAACCTCCGTCACACTACACTGACGCTGCAGCTGTTCATACATCACACACACACATACACATGTAACGGAGGCCAGTAAACCTCACTCCTCTGACATCTAAAGGTGCTCTAGCGACAGACGCTAGAGGTCAGGGTCTTTAGCCTCCTTGTTAGAGCAACCGACTCCCATTTGGAAGGTCGCCGGATCGATCCCAGCTCGGAGCGGGTTGGGTGGAGTAGGACCGGCGGGGTTACAAACACACAAAACTCAACATTCTTTCAAACAAAAAAACAATGGCTGTGTCTGAAATTGGATACTTTCCTACTATATAGTTCATGAAAAACAGTATGCGAGCTGAGTATTATGTCCGAATTCATGGATGACCTACCACTTCTGATGAGATTCTGAAGTGTGTATCTGATAGGCGCTGCACCAGGGGTGCCCAATAAATCATTCGCGGTCTTCCGGTCTTGCTCCAAAGTTTGCCATTACTTTATCGCCCGGGTCCTCCACTGCTTCATTGTATGCCTCTTTCCATGAGCCAGTATCACCTCTGCTCTACACCATCACGTCATTGGATTGGCTTTTCTTTCCTTCTTCAAGACTTCATTTACTCCTCAGCCCTCCTGAACTGTTTTTGTTTGGGTATCAGCAACACCCATAGACACAACCCGGGCTCATTGTGGAAACGTAGCCCCACGACGTTTTCGCGCGAAAAGCCGCTGGATCGGCCGACCCGGCCACCCTCCTCTTCCTCCTCCTCCTCCTCCTCCTCTTTCCCTAAACCCAAGCGACGGTTTGCAAAAGCCATCCAGAAAAAAACAAAAGCCCTCGTCTTCGATTTCGACCGCGTTTTCGGATCCCGCCGCGTTCCCTTATTTTTCGGATTCTGTTTTTCATCTTACCTGATTTCCGGAACCGCTGTTCCCCGGACTCGATCCCGGTCATCGTCCACCGCGGCCGGCTCCTCCTCCTCCTGGTCCTCCGCTCCGCCGACGCAACACTGTGAGCCAAGCGGACAAACTGGTTGCATCGGGAAAGCCCTCCACTCGAAGGCGAGCCGTCGGCTGGCGAGCGCAAAGAGGCGGAGCGGAGCGGCGCCACACCGCCCCGCATCGTTCGCTCGAAAAAAACTAAACGCGGCCGTACATACCTCCGGCCACGTAAATCGCGGTCTCCAGAAACGTCCACGGGGCTACGTTTCCAGAATGAGCTTGGGTTGCATAGACATGGGGTCAGGTGTGTTTTTGAAATGATTACATGATGAACACGACAGTGAAATATGTCTCAGCATGCATGCGTGTGTGAGTGTTGTGTATACAGTCCAAGTAATCAGCTCTGATTAGCTTCATCTCTGTGTGTAATCAAGAGGTAAACTGAAACAGGTGTGGGGATGAATGGCATGATGGGATTTGTAGTTCAAGTAATGACAGTGAGTGTAATCCAGCATCTTGCAAGGGCAACACTGCAACACTTTATAATAATAAAGTGTATATAATAATATACACACTATGAATCATTTATTAAGCATTAGCATATGGTGAATTCATTATCTGTTAAGCATTAACTCTACATTAATAGACGTTAGTAAGCAGTTTATAACTGCAGCTACAAATGCTGTATTCTTGACTTATAACCACACTTATAATGTGTTTAATAATTGTACTTTCATACTTCGTAACTGGTTAATTTTTCATTACTAAATTAAGTATTGCATTATTTACAAACCAGTTATTTAAGAGTAGTTGGAGGATTATTAATTGAATGAGTTAGTAAATGATTAATAAACTATTGAAATTAGCGTTTATATATCTTCATCTTATATTCAGGCATATAAAAATGGTTGTTATGTATGTTAATAAATGCTTTATTACCGCTGCTTCATTCAGTTTTGTGAACTAATCTAAAGTGAGGACTATTTATGCTTTATAAATCCCTCATGAATGACAATTAAAGGGTTTGGTATCAAATGAACAATACATCTTTGCAATCTTATTTAAAAAGTAAAATGGCTGTAAAGTTTAAGCATTGCTGAATAACAGGAGTGTCAATGCAACATAAAATTGGATAAAACAAGAAAATTTAACAACATAAGATGCAATGTTCAAACTGTACAGTAATTTTATTTTAGATAAGGGTGCAAAGAATATTTTTTTATTTGAAGTACAGTTTCATTTGTGTGTCTTTAAAGTGAATAGAAATTATTAAAGTTTTTTTTTGCCTGTTTAAAATTGAACTGAGTGTTTAATTGTCATTTATAAAAGACTTATAAAAGCATAAATAGTGCTCACTTTAGATTAGCTCACAAAAATGAATTAAGTTGAGTTAATACAGCATTTATTAACATATAAACTAACTATTTGTAGATGGCTGAATAATAAGAGTTATAATTGTTGATTTCAATAGTTTATTAATCATTTACTAACTCATTCTAAATGATTCTTAAATAACTGGTTTGTAAATAATGCAATACTTAATTTAGAAATGAAAAATAAATCATTACATATTTTAAGTGTGGTTGTAAGTCAAGAATAGAGCATTTGTAGCTGCAGTTATAAACTGCTTAACTAATGTTATTAATGTAGCATTAATGCTTAACAAATTATGAATTCACTATTTGCTAATGCTTATTAAATGATTCATAGTGTGTAGTTATTACAGTTTTACCCACTCATGTGATTCCCTTTCCCTCATGTTATCTAGTCATGTGCTTCTGTGTTTAGTGAGATTGTTTCTTCCTCATTGTTGATGTTTTTGCCAAGCAAAGTTGCTTAGTTTGTTTTGTTCACTTTGTATCATAAAATTAACTTTAAATATGGTTCACTTAGTCGTACTTCTGAGTTTATTATTCTACATTATTCTCATTTATTCCTCATTATAGTGGCTTTAAAAGTTTGTAAACTTCATAGTTTGTAATATTTATAGGTTATATACATTATTTCATGTTTCCCTTGTGTCTTTGCTGTTTAGAGACTTTCTGGTGTCTTCATCTCCTCTGCAGGTGTTTTCATGCTTCACTGAGTGAATCTAATTTGACTCAATATTTTAGGGAAGTGGACATTTCTGTAATGAAAGCAGCTTTTAGCACTTCAGATTCTTTCATAAGTGTTGATGATGAGGACAATTCAGTGGCAGTTTATTAGAGAAGCTGTTGTTTAATAAATGAGGAATATACTGTATGTCATGATGAATATTTTCACAAGAGGATCATAGGAAACAATAAACAGATCAAAACTCTTTCTCAAGCAGAAATCAAACAAAAGGAGTCAACCATATTAAGTTGTGATATAAAGCATTTTATTTAGATTATAAACCATTATCATAACATTATAGATATAATCAGCGTAAGCCTGAAGCAGAGGAGCGAGCGAGTGGTTCACGGTGAGCACTGATCTCTGGTCAGCTGTGCACTGACTGTAGGCTGGCCGCTGCGTGTGGCCTCACAGCTCACAGAGCCTCTCTCCGTCATCCACTGGTCCTCAGTGAGAGTCAGGCTGCTGCTCCAGCTGTACAGAGCGTTCTCCTGCATCAGCCCAGCACTGCTCTCCTGAGACCTGATGTGGCCGTTCACCTTCCAGCTCAGCTTCCAGTCTGACGGAAAGCCCTCGCTGGCCACACAAACCAGTGTCGCCCTCTTGCTCAAGGAGATTTCTGCACTGGACGGCGGCAGGACGCTCACTTTAGGAGGAGTGACGCCTGAGAGAAGAAAAAGAGCAGCGACAACTCCATTAATATATACAGATCAACCTGACAGAATCAGTCCTGCCACACATCCACAAACATCAAGACTCAGAGGTGATCATACGTAAAAGTTATGCACATCTTGGCTCTTACATCAAGCATTTGTCATGCAATAATCCAAAATACACATATAAATGGGTGGATGGAAACAGCTGATGCCTCTAAACTCTGTGTGTCTCTAAGCCTTTGAGGAGTTTAACGGTTGTGTATAAGAATGAACAGCAGTCTGTGTGTGTGTGTGTGTGTGTGTGTGTTCATTATTGTGCATAGCAAATGTTGTATTAATATTTCACAGTGTTTACACTAGATTTGAGTGGTGGGACAAGATTTAAAGCAATAACCCAATAGACACGACATTATAAGACACAGCAAATCCTGAAAGTAACTGAAGCCCTGTTTTATTTTTCGACAATCTGAAAAGTCTCACTGAAATGGCAGACCAATGAACAAAAGGGCACTTCTATACACTGAAATACTTGTTTCTTCACGCATTTAATAGACTTTAAGTAGACTTCTAGTTGTAGCTTTTATTTTAAAAGAGATTTTATTATACATATATTATTTTCACATTTTTAATCATGTTTAACTGTCATTCTTTAAAGTAAAGAGCCTTAAATATATTTATTAACTTTATTATTATATAATTACATTCATAAATGCTATATTTATTATACATTACCTTAATTTATACATTATATAATAATAAATTTGTGTTTTTCAATGTTAAATTTTAAGTTGCCACATGTAACTTTAACAAAAACGTGTTCTTAATGTATTTTATTACATCATTTATACGATTTTATAGAAGTTAAAGGATCATATGTGCTTTAGTTAGTCAGTAACACTTTACCATAATTCAATAACAGTAACACAAGACAATAAAACCATCAATTCTGTATAAATATATACTAAAGGTCTTCTTAAGTGAGTTAAGCTGCAAAATATTTCAAATGTACAATTTGCATAATAATAACCTGCTCTCTCTTTTATTAAAGTCTGTTAAGGTGAACTGTTGTTCCTCAAGAGAAGATTAATATATATTTCATAAAGACAGATTATAGCAAGTGTAATAATTAATGTATTGCAGTTTTAAAAATGAAGAATTTCATACAAATAATACAGTAAATTGAATTAAATTATGATGCTACACTTGGCTGAATGCTGCTCTATAATGATATTTTCATTATGATATATTCAAAGTGGGTTAAGAAATACCTATAATAAACTATATACCTATCTTTTATTCAGTATATTGTATTTAAAAAAAAACTAATCAGAACATGATGTACATAATATAGCGCAGAATAAAATAATGCTTTCATATGGTGTTCGGATCATTTTCAGATCAGTGACGGTGATGAAGGTTTTTAGGACTAAATTTGGCTTTAAAATATAAACTAATGAGATCAAATACAATGTAAAAGCTGCAGTTTACAGAGTAATTAATTACAATAATAATAAAAACATGACTGAACTGCATTAAAAATGTTTTACTTACTGCCAACATCCAGTCTGGTGCCGCCGCCGAAAGTCAATCACAGTGATACAAACTAATGGAGCGGCTGAACAAAAACCTCTGAACGCTTCAGCACACACACACACACACAGCATCAACACAACTACAGCTCACACTGACACAGTTCAATAAAAACACACACTGCTTTTATAAAACTGAAAATAAATATGATCTCACACTTTAAGATTTTAATCTGTCTTAAATCAATGATGTCCATGAGATCCTCAGCAGACACTGTTAATGATTTGTGTAAATGACACAGTATTCAACTGTAATGTGTATTGTACTGTAGGACAGTTATGCAGTATGTTTCTGTATTTTAAAGTTGCATTGTGGGAAATATCCTCTTCTAATGCACTGAAAAAAATGATTTAGCCCTCTATTAAATTAAACATAATTCAATTTAGTTTATTTTAAACAATTTAATTTAGTTGTTGATTTTATTAAATTATTTTTAATCGGTTTTAAGTGAATTAGATGTGTTTTGAACCAATCTAAATTAATTAATTAAAGTCTATTAGAAAAAATTATGTTATCTTTGTGCGCATGCGCGTTATGTTCCGTTGCCTCGGCGCCAAAGCCCAAAGGAAGTTTTACAGAATCCAGTCAGATTGAAGCAAGACGCCAGAGCCGGAGTTTTGTACATCCATTTGCACAGTAAGTCACATTTTATATTGTACCAGACTGTTTATTACATAAAAAAACTTTGTGGGTAACATAGACGCATAAAATGGTCTCTCGTTCGGACTGTCTATTTTGGTCGTTTTTAAATTTCACGGCGACCAGCCGTCGAGCGCGCTCGCAAGTTAAGCTAACAGTTAACGTTACACACGGTTTGACAAATCTCGCTTTTATGTCGCAGAATATATTAAAGATTCTTTTTAGCAAGAATGTAGTTATGTAGACTTGATATATAATGTTTTTAATGAAGTAAATGGCTATTTTCAAGAGAATAAGCATTTTCTTTGGTGTGACGACAGTGTCCGTGATCCGCCATTCCAAACGAAAAAAGCTTCGTTGCTAACGTTAGCTCAGTCCTTTGTGAATTTACCGTGGCTTTTACTATGGTTAACATTAAACATGCGTTTAGATAGTTGTGAACGGACAGTACCATACTGATTTTGTTATAGAACGATTTGGTCTGGCGTTAGGGCACTAACGTTACTGACTGTCTTAGGAAGTTGTCGAATGTGTGCCCATACTGGCGTAACATTAACTTTTAACGTAAAGGGCGTCCATTTATACAGTTCTTTATTTTTTTTACGTGAGATGCTGTAATTATGTCTTTGGGTTATAATGCTCTTAATGGGTTAACTTATATTCACAGCAAGTGTTTATCAGCCACCGATAAACGTCCTGCGCAAGGTTAACTTACTGTGACTTTTTCCATATTCATAAAGTGCCTTTTACATCAACGATAATGTAATTTAACTAAAATAATATTCTTTAAATAAGCTGAAGCAATCCTTTAGTTGTTCAAACGTAAAACACATGCAGACGACTGCTAAAACTTCATGGAAAATATTGTGGTTAAAATAAATTGACATATTTTTAAGACATGGCGTTGAAGAATGGAATTTAATGCAGTGCTTTGTCTGGTCTGAGACCCACTTTATATCGTATCAATCAGGCAGTGACGATTATCTTAATCATATTAATCACGTTCAGCAATTTGTTCAATAAGTAATTTATCTTAATGTTTCCTAATATAATTAATCGGTAAACAATATGTTGATTAAGAAGTTGGTCGTGTTGTTAATTGTGCTGAATTTTGAACCTAAATGATAATCATGTGCTTCCTTTCATTTGAGGTACTGTACAACAAGTTTCCTTTGCTGAGTTCCTTGGTCAGGGGTTAAACACATTTTCTGTCCAGTACTGCAGTTGGAATTTTCCATCAACATTTTTATGGTAAGTAACTGCAAAACATTTATTACTACACATTACAGTAAACAGTTTCTTAACTGAATATGTTGCTCTGAAAAATCTAAATAGTCCCAAAAAAGGAAATTTACTCACTATTCACTCACCATGTTTCCATGGTTCCAAACCTTTGAGTTTCTTTTATCTGTTGAACACAAGACAAAATATTTTGAAGAGTGTTAGAAACCAGTAATCATTGACATTCATAGTAGGAAAAACATATTATGGAAGTCAATGGCTACCGGTTTTCATCATTTTTCAAATGATCTTATGTTGTGTTTATCGGAACAAAGAAACTCAAACAGGTTTGTGACAAGTGAAGAATAAGTAAATGTTATTGTTGCTTCCCTAGTTTTCACAGTACTAGGGTGCAGTAAGAGCACAAACACAGAGTTCAACTTTGATTCAACTCCGTGATTCTCTCAAGAAAGCAGACCAAAATGTTTGACCTGCCATAAAATGATTCGACTATCTGCCGACCAAGAGAGGTTATTCACCTTTTTTTTCCTCCTGTACATTGCATCAACACAGCACAGCAAATATCAAAGTTGAAATTTAATTTGATTCAAAGAAGAGTCGCATCAGAATTTGGCTCAAAATTGCACAATGCACATTCGGCCTTAAGCCTGGTTTATACTTCTGCGTTGAGTGATTGGCGTGACCTACGGCGCCTGCCCTGCGTGCAGCTGAGCACTTATACTTGTGCGCGCTGTTTGTGTTGTTCTACAATAACACTTACAAAAGCAGTAGGTTTATATGTTCCCTCTGTATGGAGTTTCTTCGCTTGGGTTTTGTTTTTTCTGAACACTACCTTGATGAACAAGAAGATAAAACTCGCTCATTCTGAGGCGGGAGCCGGTAGTCATGCAACAACTTTAATCATAAGGTAAACACAAAGCAACAGTTTCCACCTGGAGCTATTTCATGGGACTCTACACTTGTAAACACTCGCTCCAATGGGTTGGCGTGGCTCTCAACCCCGCCCACACACGTAAGCGCTACCAAGCCCACTAATAGAGCGTGCGCTACGTGTTGTTGCGATGTGTAGTTACATTTTTGGAGAGATGCGCCACGGCAAGGGCTATTCGACTGCGCGCAGGCTGCGCCGCACCATACACGTGCATTTGATGCAGAAGTATAAATCAGCCTTTACATGTCTTTATCTTGGCTGAACATGGTAAATTACAAGGTAGTCAAAAAAAGAAATCACTTTAAATGTAGTGTAACTAAACAAACTATTCACAAGTAAACAGTCAGTTGATTAAATAAATTTGAGTATCATTATAAATGTAATATACATGTAAGGGACAATCGTCAGATTTAGGTGTGTTAAAGGATAATAAGTGCACAACATCGAGGCAAAGTTTAATGTTTAGATTATTACTGCAAGTTAAAATTTAATATAGTTTTAATTTCTAAATATAACATTTTAAAAATAAATATATAGGCTATGTTCTGAATAATGCTCATGTCTATGCTTATCATGCCACAAACATACTTATATTCTATGTATTTGACGATGCAGTCAATGCATGCACTGAAAAAAATATGCTTATAGGCTACCTTTACCTGCAGGTTTCGCTAGCTGGGCAAAACTTAGATAGGCTATTAATAATGGATATACATTAAATATGTATAATTTTATTTGTGAAAGCAAGAGAGAAACTTGTGGGAGTGCTGTAATAAAGGAGTCTCAAATGACTAACAATTGTGCATTACGGTAACGTGTTTTATTCCGGACATGGCATATGACATAAATAATCGATAACATTTGAGCTGGTTTCAGTTATTAATTCTTTTTATTTAAAAAAATATATTTATTTAACAGGTGGCGCAGTGGGAAGCGCTCTCACCTCACAGCAAGAAGATCGGTAGTTCGATTCTCGACTGGATCTGTTGGCATTTCTGTGTGGAGTCTGCATGTTCTCCCAGCGTTCGCATGGGTTTCCTCCGGGTGCTCCGGTTTCCCCCACAAGTCCAAAGACATGCGGTATAGGGGAATTGGGTAAGTTAAATTGTCGTAGTGTATGTGTGTAAATGAAAGTGTATGGATGTTTCCCAGTGATGGTTTGCAGCTGGAAGGGCATCCGCTGTGTAAAACATGCTGGATAAGTTGGCGGTTCATTTCGCTGTGGCGACCCCAGATTAATAAAGGGATTAAGCCGAGAAGAAAATAAATTAATATTTATTTAACTTAATGTTAATATAACACTACTGATGATTTTTAGCTGAATCTGTGGTACATGGTGATTCAAATAATGGCAGCGAATGAGGATGGGTTTTTCAGTTTAAGAATAAAGTCCAAATCTAAAGCCATGGCTCCTGATGAAGGTCCTGTAAAGTGAAACGATTGGTCTGTGTAAGAAATGTAACATTATTTGCAATATTAGCATTAATCCACGTCCTGGTCAAACAGATGGTTTTTGGGTTGTGAGACGTAGTTTAGACGAAGTTGTCGGCGATTCTTCCTATTGTAAAGTCATGCAATGTTCAAGTCCCTGTCGCCGATCCATCTTGCAGTGAAAATAAAGCAGCAACGACTACTTTCAAAATCATGCAGTCTGAACTCGGCATTAGTTAATGATTAAACTTAGAGACCTGGATATCGACACATCTCTCTGCAACTGGATTATGGACTTTCTGACTAAAAGACCTCAGAATGTTAGATCAGGCCACATCTGCTCCACCATCTTCACACTTAACCCTGGTGTACCACAGGGCTGTGTGCTGAGCCTCTTCCTCTACTTCTTTTTTACTATCAACTGTAGGCCTGTGAATAGATCCAACATCATCAAATTTGCAGATGACACCACAGTGATTGGTCTAATCAGCAATAATGATGAGACGGCCTACAGGGAGGAGATACATCATCTGTCCACTTGGCCACTACCAAGCCGACCAATCACAGAGCATGCGCTACGTGTCGTTTTGATGTGTAGTTACATTTTTTGAGAGGTGCACGTCAGCGACGCCGACGGCCACGGCGAAGGGCTATGCATCAGCGCCGTAGCATTGGCGTGCGTTTGACGCAGAAGTATAAATCAGCCTTAAGGAACAGCACTTTCCTCAGAGCTGTACCTTTTTTAACTCTATCCCCCACTAATTATTTTGTCCTCCTAATACACCCCCACTGTCCTCATAACTTGTACTCCTCATTATCATTGCACTATTTAACATTTGCACATTTAAAAATTACACATTCATTGCACTACATTAGACTGATTCATTCATTTGAACTATACATATACTGTACACTTGTAATTGTTTATCTATCTGTACACTTCTGATTATTAATAGCAACCTGTACATATAATAATTTATTTTAAATCTCTGTTCATAGCTAATACAACCTGTATATAATGTTGATAGTACATCCATCTGTAAATATCACTAAAGTTTTTCTATATCTGCACTTTATAAACTGATTTTCGTTGCATTGTACTTGTACATGTGTAATGACAATAAAGTTTAATCTAATCTAATACATTTCTTAACGTTTTCCAATTTGTCATTTATGTATTTAACTAATCAAATTTGTATTATTTACAGACAGCCGATGTCCATGTCAAAAGCGCGTCTATTCTTTAAGCTCTCTTTACTTACCTTGGTGAGGATGAGGCATGCCTGGTGAAAGAATACATGGTGAGTGCATCATAGTACTAGTGCTTGCACCTGGGCTATAAGAAAGAACTGAGGGTGGGGTTACAGTGGCCAATGAGACAAACAAACTTTTTTGAGTGCCATATTTGAATTAATAGGTGAACCTAATGTTGAACACATTATGGTCTATTCAAATCACATTGCGCTGCACAAACACTTGCTAGATTCGTGCAAGTAAGTTGCATACTAATTCAATGCAAAAGTATGAATAGAACAATGAACAAAATATTTTAATATCTCAAAAACAAAATTAATAATTTTAAAGAATTTGAAAATAGTGTTTTCACTGTATGTCAATGGCTTTTTTCTTTTTTCAAATGCTTTCTATTTCCATATATTTGTACATGAAGTTAAAAAAAAAATGCCATTGGTCACTACACGCGTAAGAGCAACCTATTATCTTTTGCCTCAAACTCTTGCATTGTAATGGTAATACACACTGTTATTGAACCGTAAGAAAACTATCAGCTTGTTGAGTGTGACATCACATCGCTTGACTATATCAAATAGTATTGGGAGACTCAACAAATGGTAATAATAAACATTTACAAAGCGATGTGATACTTTTTGAAAATCGCAATATATGTGCCTAATATTAGTATGCCTAAAAATACTAAATGATTAAAAGTTGCATATGTTTCTTAATCCTTTGACATTCTCAGCATTGGGTTCAGATCTGTGTTTGACCCCAGAGATATTCATTGTTTAGTCCAGGGGTGTCCAAGCTTGGTCCTGGAGGGCCTGTGTCCTGCTAAGTTTAGTTCCAATTCCAATTAGACACACCTATGCTAGCTAATCAAGCTCTTACCTGGTGATCTAGAAACTATCTTGCCTCAACACACCTGCAAGGTTGAGCTAAAATCGGCAGAACACTGGCCCTCCAAGAAGGAGTTTGGACACCCCTGTTTTAGTCTTTCTAAACAGTATTATTATTTCTAAATTACAAACAAATAGTCACAGAATTACAAGTAAACCACTTTTTTCCAAAAAAGAGAAAATTTATGTTTATGTTAAGATTAAAATTACTGTTTAAAAGCAACTTGACTTGAATTACATTTTTAGGTCAATGGGTGGCCGTACTAACAATCAAAAATGTATTGCTGAATAATTCTTCAAAAATGTTTAATCTAATAATGAAACATGACGTTTTTTTAAAGTATGAATTCAAGTTTTAAATTTGTATATTTACTTATAAATTTAAAATATACTTAAAATATTTTAATTATTTTGTTTTAATTAATGACACGCAAAAATACTAATTAAATAAATATACATGTCTATTAATTTGTCCAATTAAATTTGTTTTATTATTATTGAACTTTTTTTATTATTTGCAGAGGTCCTGTGGGTCTTTGAAAAGTCTTAAGTATTAAATTAGATGTTTACAATTTAAGGTCATAAAAAGTCTTAAATTTTGCATCAAGGTGTGACATTTCTACTGAATTTCATTCGCTGATGTTTATTTTACTTGTGCATAATTATTCTTAAGCCTTGTGTGCTGTTGAGGATATTAATTTTGCGACAGATTTCTTTGTTTGAGCTCATGAAATGATTTTTGGTGACATGTTATTTTTACTCATATTTTGGGAAAATGCTTTTAAATTTTTAAAAACCTCAACAATACACTCTGGGCAAATGTATTACTCTTTTGTTATGTTTGTGGCTGATTTTGCCTCATTGACTTCCATTATAACAATATTCTTTAATTGCAAGGTCATGACAGTATATTAAATATTTTCGATCTTTATTGGTTTTTCTTGTTAGGAAAAGGTAAAATTTGTCATTTTTATAGTTGATCATCAGTTGCAGAGCAAAACATTGCAAAGGTTTGTGGTTTTTATATAGAGTTATACGGAGTATTGTGTGTGTGTGTGTGTGTGTGTGTGTGTGTGTGTGTGTGTGTGTGTGTGTGTGTGTGTGTGTGTGTGTGTGTGTGTGTGTGTGTGTGTGTGTGTGTGTGTGTGTGTAAGTGCGTGTGTGCGTGCGTGCGTGAGACTTTTGCACACATTGTTTTGAAAGTTGCTTATTTACATTTTTTCAGACATATAGTAAACATAGTAAGTGTATTTATGCACACATACACACACACACACTATCATTTACTGTTTATACTCCAAAGAACTCCATATAAAAGCCAGAAACTTTTTTGGACAGGACTATCTAAATGGTTATGCTGTCAACTGATCATCAACAGTAAAAATGACAAAATATACATCTACCGAAAAGGGAAGAAAACCATCAACAATGCGTGATTACATGCTGTCATGGATTTGCATCCAAAAAATGTTATAATGGAAGTCAATGGGGCAAAAAAAAACAGCAACTAACATGAGGAAAGGGTAGTAAATTTAAATAATACAGAAGGGTTAAGGTGAACAATTATAACCAGGTATATTGATATACAGTGGGTCTGATCAGAAGGTATTTCCACATTCAAGTGGCCAAATCTGTGGTTTTCAAGCCTTAAACCTTGGGTAATATTATTTAAATAATAATGCTATAATGCTTACTTGACATTATATTTAGTTTTCAACATATTACTGTATTGTTTGCCTTTCAATTATTTTTTCCAAAATTATTTTTAGTTAGTCTTAAAAGATCTTAAATTTACCTTGATAAAACCTGAATAAACCCTGTAAATAATTGTGAAGAAGTCGTACTTGCAGATCATGCTCAAATATATGTTCGCCAATATGCAATCATAAATGATTGGTTATAATATTTCACAGGTATCAATGTGGGTGTGGGGAGGGCCGTTAAGGTTTTGGTTTTATTTACATTTGATTTCTTCTGACTTTTTACAAAATATGTTTCAAAAACAATGTCTAATAATGGTTTCTTTTTATTTAAATAAAGGGCAACCAAAAAGAAGAATTTTTGAAGGACCTGACAAACACCACCATGGCCATATGTGTCATCAAAAAGGAAAGAGGAGATTATGAGGACATTGGCATCGTTGTGGATGGAACAGTGATTATTGAACAGATAAAATCTGTTGCACAAGCCTGTGCACTGATGTTGGGGGCAATTTATGTGCTTGATTTGGCCTACCCAAAAGAACTCAAATACTATTTGAAGTTTGCCCAAAAAGTACTTGTGCAAATGAACTCTGACAAGCTCTCCTCAAAGGTTCTCATCAATGACTGTAAAAAATATGGACGACGCGACAGCCCTTTTTCCCATTGAACGCCTTGAGGGCAAAACGCCTGCTTGACGGGCACAAACTGTCGCAAAAGACTGCTGAAATTGGAGCCTTGACATGCGCAGAAGGATTGTCTGATGGAGCCAGAGGAGGAGCCGCGAAAATGAGCGGAGTCGAGCTTCCAATCAAACGCTTTATGTAAAATCAACTACGCCCCCCGAACTTCTCAGCATGCGTTTGCTGTCATATCAACACAAATGGATGTAATAACGTTAACAAATATGAGGGTTTTATATATTCAATCGCGCCAGCTCCAGGCCGCAGCGCATAACTTACTCGCGGCGTCGCGGGCTGATTCCGGCTTGCATGCGGCAGCGCCGGCTCGCTCGGCCGCCGCATCTGGCTCGATTGACTCGGGCTGGAATTGGGTAGTGAGTCCAGGCATCCGGAGTAGGTCCAGCAGAGGTAACATTAGTCAGTCTGAGCTCTAAGGGATAAGTCTCCGGCAGGCGAGAATCTAGCCGGAACTGTGTTTTGCTATCTGGGTGGCTAGGCGTGTATCAGCAAACTAATAAAGCCCGAAAAAAGCCCTGAACTTAGCGAATAAACAGTGTTCCACCAGGATCATGTATGTCAGAAACTATAGTTTACTGCTGAACTCATTTTGTCATGGTAAAATAACACAGAAATCGAATAATAACACTTCAGTCTCCTGCCGAAGCTCAGACGCCGCGCTTTGAGAAACTGTCAATCACAGCTGTCAATCACGATGACACGCCCAGCATTAAATTACTGCTAAAAACAAACTGTTTACAAAAATGAAGATCTGCACCTATTTCAGCACAATAACCAGTGCCTTAATCGACCAGAACTATCTTTCGGGACAGTTTATTGCAAGTGTAATATTTTTTTTTTATTTGGGCTCAAGTCTCCTTCATTAACACGGAGGAGGCGGGCTTTATGACTTGTACTGCAGCCAGCCCCCAGGGGGCGATCTAACGGCCGAGACCCTCACTCAAACGCAGGCTTGCGGCACACTTGGTTCTCATACTGGAAAACAGTGTGATACTGTAATTTTAAGCATTGAAGTGTTGATAAATGCTCAACAACCAAATGTATATCATATACAAATTGCAGTTTAGTGTAGGAATTGTTTAATAAATAAGTGAATTCAGTTTTCTTTGTGTGCAAAATTAATTAGCTGTAGGAACTTGTTTTAAATAGTGTGTGTGTGTGTGTGCGCGTGTGTGTGCGTGCGTGTGTGTGTGTGAGAGAGAGAGAGAGCATGTGTATTCTATAAACTTTGTATTTATTGCATTTCATACAACTTGTACTTGCTCAATATGTTGTTAATTTTTTAAGTTAATTAGTTGATTATTTTGTGTATTGGGGTGTGTGTGTCATAAGGATTGCAGTTTGCTCTAAGACTTCATACAGTTTTCTTTTATGTGTTGGTTTAAATTAAATGTGCTGTACAAACTGTTTATTGTTTTATGGTGTGCTGCTAAAGCATTTATAGGCAGTGATTTATGTTTTGTTAAAAAATGCATCTTAAAAAGTCATTAAAATGAATTCAAAACAAATGTGGTCAAGTGTCATTTCAAAGTGTATTTGCAAGCAGTTTAATGATCATTTTAGACATCAAAAATAAATAGATGTAAGTAGGAATTACATATATAAATTATAGTGAACTAAATGAATTTCATTGGATAAATGTAACTAAATAAAATTGATTAAATCCAACTTATTTTGATTGTTTAAATCCAACACATATAAATTGAGTAAATCCAACCTAATTTGATTGTTTAAATCCAACCTAATTTGATTGTTTAAATCCAACACATATAAATTGAGTAAATCCAACTAAAATTGTTTGCTTAAACTTAACCCAATTCAATTATTTGCAACAGCTTGCCTTAAAAAAATTAAGTAAATCCAATGAATCATTTTTTTCAGTGTGTGCTGTGAATTGAAAAAACTAATCTTACCCATTAAAATACAGTAATTTACCATTTGTGCTATTTTACAGTAAGCAGATTAATGGAGTACACACTGTTTAATTGTTTGACAATACAGTACACTCTCAATCACCACAATCACTGACACCTGAACACTAATCAGCCCTGCAGCTGCACGTCATTCCCGCTCATCACTCCAGCAGCATCAATACCCTCATCAACCCTCACTCAGTGTCTGGCCTTGTTGCTTCATAGTACTGCACTCTCCTCACGGTCAGTGTCTAGAACAATTCTCCAAGTTCACTTATCTCTCTCATTCCCTATGATTTTCAGTGTCTGCGTCTTTACTCCTTACTTCCTTCTCTGGTAATTATTGATCCCTCGTATCCGTCTATCTGTGTGTCTGGCTTCTCTGCAAATTCACCTCCAATCTCTCTGATTCATCTGGTCATCTCTTTACATCCTGCAAAGCATCTACATTGAGTTCTGTATATCTCCTGCCATCCTCTTCAATAAACTGTGGTAATATTTCCATCTCTGCTTCCTGTCTCTTTCTGTGACAATTACAGATAAGACTAATAATACAGTGTATTTTACAGTAAAGATGTACAATACTGTAAATACATGTACAGCAAGATTAGTGTTACTGTAAATATTAATACACATGCAAAACATTTTTGCTGCTTAATCAAACTACTTATTTTAAATCAGCTTAAATAATACAATTCTGCAGGTATTTAGGGGGATTTTTATTTTTATGTTCAATCCACTTAAATGTGTTATGTTAGGCAAACTGATTTGTGTTGGGACAACATGACTGAATTGTGTGTAACTTTGCATCTTTAACAGTGCTGTGAGATTAATTTACAGTATATTGCTGTCAAACTGCTGTCAGTAAGTTACTGTAAACACTACAGGTAAATGCTAACAGTGTAGTACATATTTATGACAGTAATATTAGCTGATCCTCAAACAAAGCCTTATAATTACACTCACTCTGTAAAAGAAAACGTTGACTCAACTTTTAATCCGAGTACTACACCTGACTTGATTTAAGTTGATTTGACTAAAAACGCTCTGCAGAAAGTGTCCTTACAATGTATAGTTGAGTCAACTTTATAACGGTGCTGTTTTTACTGTGTTTTACATGAGTGTGTGTGAGCTGAAGGGAAGTGTGTTTGAATAAGTGCACCACCCCTGTGTTTAAGACAGACGGACAGACAGCAGCTCTTCTCTGTGCTCTTCAGTCTTGAGTCTTTAAGATGTCTGCAAACGCTCTGATCATCTGCGCTCTCCTGCTCTCTGCTGCTGGTGAGACTCAACATTCATCAAGTGTTCTCCTCCACATGTCTGTCTGTCTGTCTGTCTGACTGATATTATTGTGCTGCAGGTTGTTTTGCAGAGATTATCCTGACTCAGAGTCCGTCAGTGGATCTGGTGTCTGTGGGAAGCAGCGTCACTCTCAACTGCAGGTCCAGCAGTTCTTCTTTGACAAAATATTTAGCCTGGTATCAGAAGAGACCCGGACAAACACACAAACTCCTGTTCTACTATCTTGGTAACAGAGTGTCTGGAGTTTCTGACAGATTCACTAATGAGAAATCAGGAACAAACTACATGCTCAAAATTAGAGACGTCCAGCCTGAAGATGCAGGAGATTATTACTGTCAGCAGTACTATGACCTACCAAGGACACAGTGATACAGAGCCGTACAAAAACCCTCAGCAGTAAAAGAGGAACTGCTGATTTACACACACACACACACACACACACACACGCACACACACACACACACACACACACACCACACACACAGATCAGACCATGTTTAAAACCTTACAAAACATTAAGTTCATAATAGATCTCTAATATTTGTATCTGACGCTGTGTGTGTGTTGCACGTGTGTATACAGTATTTGGCAATAGTCAAAATTACTGATTTATTTGGTAACACTTTTTTACGTCACAGTTCACGCTGTGAACAAATCATTAACTAAGATTATTTGCTCAATAAACTGCTAATTATGTGCTTATTAGTAGTTAGTAAGGTAGTGGGTTTAGGGTAGAATTATGGATGCAGAATGAGACCATTCTTTAGCCACTTATATACAGTTCATATCTTAATAATAGGCAGGTACAGACCAGTAGTGAATTGAATTGAGACCATGAAGCATCACCATTTATTTTTATTCCAAAAATCATTCACATATTAAAGAAAGATCATCTTCCATGAAGACATTTTATAATTTGAAAAAAAAAAACAGAAAAATAAATATTTCCTTAATTTATTTTGGATTAGTAATCTGGATTGCTGAGAACCTAATTTGGACAATATGCTTCAACAGCATTCTCTAAAGTGTTAGGATCTCAAGACAAGCTCTCATATTACTTTCTTTTTTAAATGAGCTTGACATGGGGTAATAAAAGTATCAGGTTCTGCTCAAACGGTGTGCAGTAATGACAGAGATCTGATTATGAAGCACAGAGGTGATCTGCAATATGAGCAGTTACACCAAAACCTGTTTATCCTTAAGAAAATTCATGAAAACCTTGGAAACTCTTTACAACATTCATTCATTAATTTTCCTTCAGCTTAGTCTCTTATTATTTATATGGTCACCACAGTGGAATGAACTGCCAACTATTCCAGCATGTGTAGCCACAACCCGGCACTGGGAAACACCCATACACATTCTCATTCACATGCACATACAACACGGCCAATTTAGTTTTTTCAATTCACCCCTATAGCGCATGTGTTTGGACTGGGGGAAACTAGAGCACCCAGAGGAAATCCACACCAACACACGGAGAACATCCAAACTTCACACAGAAATGCCAACTGACCCACCTGGGACTCGAACCAGCAACTTTCTTGCTGTGAGGCCACAGTGCTAACCACTAATCCACCATGTTGCTCCACTTTAAAACAACAAAACATTAATAATACATGAATAATGATCTACACTATTCATACATTCATTCATTTTCTTGTCGGCTTAGTCCCTTTATTAATCAGGGGTCGCCA